AGCAGGGAGCCCGATGCGGGACTCGATCCCGGGACTCCAGGATCATGACCTGAGCTGAAGGCAGTCGCTTAACCAACTGAGCCACCCAGGCGCCCCTTAAATCAAAGTTTAAATCATTCTCTCCCAAATAGTTAACTGCAAGAATATCTAAGGGTTACAGTGGTCTATAAACTTGTCCGCCATACATCGTTACAGAAACTGACCCAACCTGTGACTGGATTGGGCAGTGGCAACTCCGCCAGTCCCTTCACTAGCTGATATGGGTCTTATGTTAGTATCATCAGAAGATGGCTCAATATCACATCCACTCTCTCTTGAATGGGGCCCAGAAGAAATTTCAGTCAAATAACATGGGGTTAGGAGCAGCTTTTGATCTACTCATACTAGAGCAAAGGAACACGGGAATCAAGAAAATTTAAGTGCAGGCGAACACCAATTGCAGCTATATACATGCTTCAGGCTTCGGTAAGAAGACCAGACCTACTCCTTTTCTACCTTTAAAGTTGACGACCTCAGCAATCTAAATAACCTGGGTTAAGGAGTGGAGGCAAGTGTGAGAGTTTGAACTGTCTTTCACTCAGACTGTACAGAGGTTTGGGATTCAGAGACCCTCAGTTTTTACTCAACTTCCTCCTCAAACGAGTGGCTGCAAAGAACCTTCCCCAGAAGGGCATGCGGTCTTCTGAAAATCCCGCACCTCAACCTCACAGTGGCTGTTGGGGTTTCTCCTCTCCATCTGAACTTGGCAAAGGCTGGCTAACAGGGCCCACACAAGGTCAGGGGGAGGGGAATGGGGGCACAGGTAAGTCATCAAGACTGAACGAGGGACATATTTTTCTAATTTACTCTGGAAGTCCTTCCCCCATGTATTAGCTTTGCGAGTCTGGCAAGTTATTCAACTGTTCTGAGGCTTTTCCTCACCTGTGAAATGTAGATTAGCACAGTTTCCGTTTCAGAGCGTTGGGGGTAAGGCTGGTGTAATATGCTTGTGAAGTAATTGGCACTGTCCCTAGCAGGTAGCAAAGGCTAATAATGTTAGCTATTGTTATTCATAGGCGTTGACTGTCCACCGGTCATCACGGTCCTCCCTCTTTGTTCGGGAACTGCTACCATTACCTTGTGGGAGAGGGAGTCAAAAATCCCCCAGAAGAGCTTCTCTGGCAGGTGCAATTCTTCTTCCACAGCTAGCCCATAGCTCCCCCATCCTGAAGGCAGGCAGTAATACTTCCAGCACTGTTCATAGTGATTCGTCAGAAGCTGGGAGGTTGGAACAGGATTGCACCAGCGAGTGGGGCGGAGAAGATCCACAGGCGTCCACACCGTGCAGGGGAGAACAGAACAGTAAGCAGCCCACGTGAGACTGAAGCCAACAGATGAAACAGCTGGGTGAGCTACAGAGAGGTCCCTGCATACCACTGGGAATGGTCCGCTTTCCTGCGTGATGAGTTCTAGCCTGAGCTGGATCTGCCCGATTAATTCTTGTGCCTCCTAATGTGCCCCTAGCAGTTGGGAAATGGAGAGGAACTGTTTCTACTTCCAATGAGAAAGTGCTACCCTCTGAAAGTACTTGCTGTGTAACCTTCCAGGCACTTGAAGGTGGAAAGAATTCCTTCTGAGACATTTGTTTATAAATCTAGAAGATTCTGTGATGCTGACATGGGGATGATGTGGGGAGCATGTGGTGATTTTCTCTACATTGATTTCTGCCCATGGCTTTCCTTGCCTTTCTCTTGAGCCTTCTGATGGCCCGGCCACGTTACCACAGTTCCACATGTGGCCAGCAGAGGGCAGAAGTACAGCGCCAATGTTCCCATCCCACGGGTGGGATCCACATCCTCTAAGAAAAATCCTGCTGCTCTAAGACGTAAAAGTGAGCTCACTGAGTGCTGTTGATGCTGCTCCCTCGGGAGTCAGAATCCAGCTGACTGTACAGGGCTGCCGACGAAGCAATGCCAAGCTGAACTGTGAAAACCATGGTTTTCGGCTAAAATATGTATTGGGATTAAGAGTCAAGAGAACAAGCCTTTGGAGGGCAGTGGAATCTCTGACAATATACAAGCTGTTTTCTGCTGGGCATGGAGACAGAGGATTGAACTAAAGGATTCTGGGAATTCTGTTTATCCCAGTAAAGCGCATCTTAAAATCCTTGCTTAGACTATTTCTGAGAAGAAGGGAAAGTTCTGTTAAATCACCAGGCAGAACTTTCAGGTGTCGCTGGCCACGGCCGACACAATGAATATGCAAATACGGCAGGTACCTCTTAAGTAAAAGATAAAAAACGCTGTTCTCCTGGGTGGGCAGTTGACTGTGGTGCTCTCCCACCCAGGCCCAGATGCTGCTCCCTGTGTTAGTGATAAAACTTTCGTAATTTATGAGAAAATCATCAAGGAGACAACAGATAGCTCTGTAGCTGTGCTTTCCACCAATAAAAGAAAACAGAGATAAGAGTAAAAAACAAACAAAAAAGAGGGTCTGTTACAGGGGAAAAAGGAAGGCACAAGACAGTATGGAACAGAAAAAGGAGAGTTTAGGTTCTATACTTGAATGAATAATTGCAAGGCCTTCAAAGCTCTTTGAGATTGAAAACATTCTGAAAACCTAATTAAGGCAGGAAAGTGCAAAATCCAAGTCCCCCTCATTAACTTCTGCTAAATCACATGTAGTCAGTGGAAATCAATTAAAGAAAATTGGGGCAGTTAATGATCTACTCTCTGCAACCTAGATGCTCAAGAAGAGGTTTGATACGGTGGGTTGTACCTTCTTAGTCCTCAGCTTAAAAAAGTAAAACCCATTTAATGTTTACTTTGCTCCCCCAACTGTGAAGACCTCACGTTTTGCAAGGCAAGTTTCCGCGCCATGGACGCTATTTCTATAACAGTGAAGAGGTTCACCTTAAGAGGCATTTTGCAGTATTCGTTGAGCTGGGGCACGTCAAAAACCAGACGTCGCAAGAGTTGCTGTAACATGGAAGGCCTCAAGTGACTGCGGTATGGAATAAAAAGAGAGATCGAATTAAAAAAGTAAGAAAGAATATAATAAAGGAAGGAAGAAAGAATGAAAAAAGAAACACTCATCCATAACCATACACCAGCGCTAAGCCGCCAAACACTTAGCTCCTAAAATAAGATCTTGGGTAAATCACAGTCAATGATAACACACTTTAAAAAGTGAGTACAGTTGACCCTTGAACATCATGGCAGTTAGGGGTCCAACTCCTGATTTCGGCTCAGGTCATGATCTCAGGGTCGTGAGATCGAGCCCCCTGTTGGACTCAGTGGGAGTCTGCTTGTGATTCTCTCTCTCCCTTTGCCCCCCCACCCCCAACTCTCTCTCTCTCTCTAATAAATAAATAAATCTTTAAAAAAAATCCACGTATGACTTTTGACTCCCTCCAAAACTTTACTAATAGCCCACTGGTGATGGGAAGCCTCACCAATAACAAACAATTGATTAACACATATTTTGTGTTACACGTATCATATACTGTGTTCTTACAATACAGGAAGCTAGAGAAGATATTAACAAAAATCATAAGGAAGAGAAAATACATTTATAGTATTGTATTTATTGAAAAAAATCCATGTACAAGTGGACCCGCACAGTTCAAACCTGTGTTATTCAAGGGTCAACTGTATAGTTAAAATATAGGAAGAGGAATGTGTGGCTAATGAATTGAGCTACCTAAGGTAAAGTCTCATCACCAGGTGACAAGATGTTGTAGGGTCTATGCACACTCAAAATGCAGTCATTGATTATGTACAAAGAATGTAATAGAAAGAAGGTGCAGTTGATTTTATAGCCATCTCTAAGGGCCAACTGTCCAAAGGATGAAGCTGGAGCTGACCTGTGCATAGGTGGAATCTGAGGCCACCTACTGGTATGATCAGAAGGGAATTTAAGGCCCTCTGAGCCACCATCCTGAAATCCTCACTACTGGAATATCTTTAAGTTAAGGCTCTCTCCTCAAAAAAACTTAACAGGCAAATGCAGTAACTAATTAGAAAACAATTTATCGAATTATCAAAGAGCTCTATCTTAGGAACCAAAACATTAGTTCTTAATCTGAACACTGAATACTTGCCTGAAAGACAGTCTCATCTTCTGGTCCACGAATCCTCAGGGCAAGAGCCTGAGCTGTGTCCCCCATTTCTTTTTTTTTTTTTTTTAAAGATTTTTATTTATTTGACAGAGAGAGACGAAGCGAGAGAGGGAACACAAGCAGGGGGAGTCGGAGAGGGAGAATCAGGCTCCCCGCGGAGCAGGGAGCCCGATGTGGGGCTCGATCCCAGGGCTCTGGGATCATGACCTGAGCTGAAGGCAGACGCTGAACGACTGAGCCACCCAGGCACCCCTGTGTCCCCCATTTCTTCACAGTGAGAGATGAACTCAAGGAAGAGGTGATCAGAAAGCTTGTGGCAAGGGGGCGGGGGGAGGGGACCGAGCATAACCTACGAGGAGATGACTGAGAAAGGGTGGGTGTATGGCTAAGGCCTGGAAGCTTCCTCAGACTGGAGTCACTGGAGTTTTTCAATTACACAATTAAAGGCAGCTGACAGGGAAGCATATTCGCAGGTGAAAAACACGGGCAGGGGTACTTACTTGCAAATGGCAAGCAAACATTCTTCTATGGTGTCCCTCTGAGCTTTGGTGAGGGACCGTCCCTTGGAAAGCCTGTATATTGTCTGTAGTGTAGAATCGATCAGAGACGTGTAGTGTTCTGTTCCGGCAAAGAGAGGGGCGCATCTTGTGAGGAGCGGGAGCACGGCAGAACATAAATACCTATTTAGGGCAAGTGCTACCTCTGTGGTGCTCAGGGAAACCTAGGAAAGGGGATTGGGACTCTGGTTAATCTCCCCGGGAAAGACAGAGTAAAGCTTACCCCGAGGACGGAGCTCCTGTCTAGCAGGTGGGAAAGCTTACACGCAACAGTGTCTCACAGCAACAGAGTGAACAACTTTCTACCTTGTCAGCAGACCCACTTCTCTTCTGCATTTTCAGTGAGAAAATACAAAGTCAGGTTAAAAGAAAAAAAAAAAAACCGAAGGAACGCAAAGGCCGGCTGGCCCTAACTCATTCCAAATGATCCACAACCATCTGTTTCCCTCAAAGAGAGATTCTAAAACCTATTAACATCAGCTGATGATCGGTCTAACCCAACGTTCTTCGTGTTTGCAAAGGCCAGCTAACAAGCTACTATGTTATTCTTCTGCTTGAGCTCTCTTTTCTCACCTAATGGAGACTCACAAGTTATCTCTTGTGATTTTGAGATTAGTAAGTGGCTATTGGACAAGCAAGCCATCAAACTACTGGTTTTGTGACATTTTATAGACAGAAAGTGGAGCTCTGACCCCCATCACTTAAATTATAAGCATTGTGAGCCATTCATGATCTAATAAATGGCATGGGGTGGAAGTCACTAAAGGGAACCTAACTTTGCATGGGAAAAGGGTACACGGAATAGAAACTTAGGACCTGCTCTAAAATTCTGCTGTCATTATCACTCACAGTGTTCTTTCTCATTCATTTAGACAGGCTAGACACAAGGAATGCCCACTTAGTGACACTTTGTCAAAGCATTCTTAGCTACCATTTTGGAAAACTGAAGAACTTCAAAAGAAACCTTGAGATCCACAAAGATGAAATCTTCTCATTATATCCTGTGATTATCACAGCCGTTAGATCTGTAACACATTTTCTATAACTTATGACATGATAAACTGTTTTGAACTGTACACATTTCCGGGTATTCCTATTAATTTTCAAAAGTTTGTCTTTGAGAAAAGATTCACTAATCAGACTGAAAAGAAATAGCAAATCTTTCACATTTATCATTTTGACAGAGTTGTCACAATGGGGAAGGACAGAGTTTTGATTCCAGTGGCTTAAAAGTTTTCAAAAGAGAATGCATGTACTAAGGAACTGAATGTTTAACTTCTTGTGCTGCAGATGGTACTTAGACAAGCATGTGATTTGAACACCAAATGGTAGAGCAGCATTTGCCATTTATTTGATCTACAAAAAAATCAAATGATCTGATCAGGAACCTTGAGAATGTCTCACAAGTTAAAACAATTACTTTTTTAAATCAAGGAATTTATAGCAAAACTCAAGACAAAAGTAGCTGTGGAACCATTGTTTTAATTATCCAAAAGGACCATATGCTCCTGACACTTTCATGGATGTACCATTTCTTATCCCCATGCCACAGATAGGAATGGAGCTCCCATTCAGACTGGGGCTTGGATTGCTTTCCCATTGCTGGGTGATCCCATACATCTGTGAGTAACCCATTCAAATCGAATCCATGCCAGTTAAGGTACGGGCTGGCAGACCACCCATTACAGAGCTCAGACTTCTGTCTCTGTTGGACACTAGGCGGAGCCTTGAGAGACTTTATGACTGATTAAGAAGACATGTTTCTTCTGGCTCTTTAAAAGTAACCCTACACTGGCAAGATGTTTTTAGACTTATGCTGATTGAATTATTCTTTTCTCCTTGGACCCACGACTCCTGGTGTACTGTTCCTGACTTGGGGCATTATGCATCTACACTTTATAACTCCTGGGGCCTCCGGTCTCGATGTCTATTGATGTTGGATTCTTTACCCTTGACTTTCGAACTTGGGTTTGCCCTTGACCTCTGGTCTTGACCTTGTCATGCCCAATACCCCATAATTGCTTGACTTGGAGACTATCTTTCCTGATGGGCAGTGCATGAAACTTAAGGAAGGAGAGTGAGAAGAGTATTTCCAGCCTATAATTCTGCCAACCAGACTTTTTCATAAGCAATAAGCCCTGGTTCTCAACTGAGGAAGACACTGTCCCCAAGAGGACATTTGATGATATCTAGAATTGGTTTTATAGGTGGTACTACTGATATTTAGTGGGTAGAGGCCAGGGATGGTGCTAAATATCTTACAATGCACAGGATGTGCCCCCACAACAGATTGTGCCAAGAAACTTGCAACAGAGGAACCTGAATTGAGTATTTGAGGTTAAGTTTACCTACATTTAAGTCTCTGGCACAACAAATTAGCATCTTCCATTTCTTGGTGCCTCTGTTTTCTCACCCTTTAAAGCAGCCTGCTAACACGTAATCAGTAAATAGAAAACATTCACTTTGAAATCCATGTCACCAATGTACAATGATTGGAAAAATATTTTTTCTTATTTTAGCCACTTACCGTATCTAGAGAGGCAGAGGCTCTTAAGTCGGGTAAAAATCCAACCTCTAGCAAGTGGAGCAGAAAAGTTTGATCCTTAATGCCATAAACACGATCCAAGAACAGCACCATGGGTGCCTTGTGGTCAGGGCAGAAGTTGGCTGCCATATCTGGCTCGCTAACGGACCCATCTGAAAGACCCAAAGAGAACGTCATGTCCCCTTTTCTATCTCCACAGTCTCAAAGGCAACACAGAGCATGTCTGTCTACACTTTGTTATCCTAACAAGCAATAGGAATACAATATTGTGCTGAAGCCAGCTGATACCGACTTGGGAAAGCTGGTTTGTTTACACTTCCGGAATTTTTTGAGCCAGTTGTTAGACATACTCATTATTAAAAACTAAGATTTACAATTAAGTAAATTATATTTAGGAAGGTGACAAATACTCAAAACTCGTCACCTCCTAATGATCTCACTATAAACTATACTCTTGAGGTTATTTACATTTATTTTATTTGCATGTTGGAAATACAACACAATGGTGGGCCATGTGTATTCTCTTTCCAACTCCATGGCTCAGTGACACATATTGATAGCTTGCACTGGACCATGGTTAGAGGACTTACACCTCAGAAATGGGCAAATGCCAGGCATCGGGGCTTGAGTTTTCGCTTTGTTGACTGAAGACACAAGAAAGGAAGGGAGAAAATGTAAGGTAGATTAAATTTAAGAGTGTGTCTTTTCTGTAGCCATCGTATCATAAATAGCACAAAACTGAGGAAATATCCTCTTAGTATTTGGAAACTATTATCTGATTTAGGTGAAATTGAGAACAGATCATCCAGTAATTCTAATCTTATTTTGATAAAAGAAAGCTCAGAGATGAAGTGAGGAATACCACAAAGAAAATAAAAACTGCTTGACTTGGAGAATAAAGACAGGAGTTTGAAAGAGGACACAAAAGAAAAACAGTCTTCCTCCTAATATTATGTTAACATCAAAAACGAGGAAAAAGAGCCCCTAAAGGGTCAAGCTAAGGCAGAGCATATTTACATACGGTACTTCAGAAGTTACCCTAATAGCCCCGAAGGTTTAGTGCTAACCAGCCCAGAGCCTCATTCAGCCCAGGGATCAGGGCAGGGCAGAGGACGAAAGCAAGAAGGGAAGGGACCTTCCTGACAGGAAGCTGCTTGCCTCTCCTGGACACCAGGGGGAGCCGGATCTGAACGGTGGAGGGCTGAATTCATCTTTCCCACATACCTTGTGTTCTGAGGAACATTATTTTTTTTTAATTTTTAATTTTATTCATTTATTCATTTATTTTAAGGAGGTTCCAATGCAGGGATTGAACTCAACAAGCCTAAAATTAAGACCTGAGCTGAGATCAAGAGTTGGGACACCCAAATGACTAAGCCACCCAGGTGCCCCTGAGAAGCATTATTTTTATAAGATGTTTTGTGCTCAAAAAGTTTGGGAAATAGTAAGTTCAACATTTATTTTATCATATCTTTTTTCAAAGGCTCTATAATCTTAATGTAATTCATGATAAGTGTGTTATTTTTGAGACTGATGTCACCAAGATGGAGGAGTAGGAGACCCCAGCCTTTGTCTCCCACAAAAATCAACAATTAGCTATCCATGAACAAAAACACCACTGGGAGAGGTCAGGATTCTACTTGAGAAACTTGAGCAACACAGTAGAACAAAAACCCCAAGAATACACAAAAAGGTAAAGATGCATTTCGCTGGCCTCATCCCAGGCTGGCACTGTTCAGAGCCAAGTGGGAGCTCCTCAGCTAGAAAGAGTTCGGTGTACTGGGAAGGGAGAACTGGGTGAACAATCACCTCCTCCAGATTCGGGGCACTACATAAAGGACAGCTGTTCGGGTTCACCCCTCCTAGAGACCAGTGAAGCAGAGATGTCTCAGAACAAGAAAGAAGGGCAGGGGCTACCCGCATCAACCATGCAGTTGGAGTCGCTGTGTTTTCAGTGACCTGCTCTGAACAGGACGCCAGCTCTCGCTATGGAAGAACCCAACATCCAGCATAGCCACCGTGAAACCCTGGCAGATTTCCCAGGTTTTGTGTGTGCAGATGCCCAGCCACCTGGGTCTCTTCCCACTCCCATCTCCCTCACTGCCAGAACCCAGGATCTGCACTGGCAAGTAGTCCTGGGCTCTGCAGCTGTGTGAGTTCAAGATGTCAGCTAGACTCTTGCAGCTGCTTCCCAGCACTGGGTGTGCCCTTGGGAAGACTTCCATCACTGGCCTCTATTGCCATGCACACACCTGGGCTGAGATCCTGCAGCCATGGGAGTGCATGCTGACATACAGGGCCCCCCAGCTGCTTGTGGGCCCAGCCCTGACCTTGCCTCTGGTCAGTGGCCTGCACTTCTGGGCTCCTCTATAGCTAGCACCTGCAACTAGGAACTTGTATCCCACTGGCCCGAGTCTTGTCACTGGCTTCCACTGCTGTGCACTCATTGTGAGACCCTGCAGCCACAGGCAGGCATGTTAATAGCCAGGGTCCATGTAGGTGCTGGTGAACCCATATAGTTCGCCCTGATCCTTGCTGCTGGCCCTGGCTCCTGCCACTCCATGTGTGTCTGCAATTGGCTTACGCCACTCCATAGGCACCTGCAGCTGGTCCCTGCGGCGGAATGTGTACACACCCCCAGCTCCAGCTACCACCACTGCCTGACCTCATTCCTAGTTGTTAGATGTGGACTTATTGCTGAGGACCCCAACAGCCCTTGCAGCTCCCGAGGATTCCCAGCAGCACTTGCCAAGGACACATAATTATCAATGTGGTGGACCCCAGTGGCCTGAGCTGCCAAGACATCACGCCCCCACCCCCAGACACGAAGCCAACACCCAGCCCTGTACTTGGTGCCCTGTCCCACTAGACCTGGGGTCACAGCACGCTCTAACATGCCCTCACCTACAGGTGCAGTTCTTTCCTTATCAAAGTCAGTCCATTAAGTCTGGAAGAGGTGACTGCTTCTTCCTGTGTGCAGGGATCTATGTGAGGCTATAGGTACCACAAAGAAGGGAAACAGGACACCACAAAAGGAACACAGAAACCTTCTAGTAATTTGACTCCAAAGCAATGGAGATACATGAATTACCTGACAAAGAATTCAAAATAGTTATTCTCAAGATCTCAGAGAGCTACAAGAGAACATAGGAAAGCAATTAAATGAAATCAGGAAAATGCAAGAAGAAAATGAAGTAGAAAACATAAAAAAACAAATATAAATTTTGCAGCTGAAGAATACAATGACTGACGAACGATGAGAGACGATGGACTCTGAAGAACAAACTGAGGGTTCTAGAGGGGAGGGGGGTGGGAGGATGGGTTAGCCTGGTGATGGGTATTGAGGAGGGCACGTTCGGCATGGAGCACTGGGTGTTATGCACAAACAATGAATCATGGAACACTACATCTAAAGCTAATGATGTAATGTATGGTGATTAACATAACAATTAAAAAATTAAAAAAAAAAGAATACAATGACTGAATGAAAGAATTCATTGTTCTGAGCACTTCAACACCACACTGGACCAAGCAGAAGGATCAGTGAGCTCAAGAAAAGATCATTTGACATTATCCAGTAAGAGGAACAAAAAGAAAAAAAGAATGAAAAGGAATGAAGAAAGCCTATGGGATTTATGGGACACCATTAAGAGAAACAATCTACACATCATTGGAGTCCCACAAGGAGGAGAGGGAAAAGTAGAAAACTTAAATATTGTTGAGAACTTCCCAAAACTGAGGAGATCTTTAACATCCAAGTTCATGAAGCTAGTAGGTCATCCCCAAACCTACAGAATGGGAGAAAATATTTACTAACCATGTATATGACTAGGAGTTAATGTCCAAAATATATAAGGAACTCATACAACTCAAAAGCAAAAGACCCCAAATAAGCCAATTAAAAATGTGCAGAAGACATAAATAGACATTTTTCCAAAGAAGACATCCAGATGGCCAAGAGACACATGAAAAGATGCTCAACATCACTCATCATCAGGGAAATACAAATCAAAACCACAATGAGATACCACCTCACACCTGTCAGAATGGCTAGTATCAAAAAGACAAGGAATAGTAGATGCTGGCAAGGATGTGGAGGAAAGGGACCCCTTGTTACTGTTGGTAGGAACAGAAATTGGTGCAGGTGCTATGGAAAACAGTATGAAGATTCCTCAAAAAAATAAAAACTAGAACTGCCATATGATCCAGCAATTCCACTTCTGGGTATACACCCATAGGAAACGAAATCACTACCTCAAAGAGATACCCACACCCATATGTTCACTGCAACATTATTCACAAGAGCCAAGACATGGACACAGTCTGAGTGTCTTTTGATGGATGAATGGATAAAGAAAATGTGAACGAACACACACACACACACAGAGGAATATTATTCAGCCATAAGAGCGAAGGAAATCTTGCCATTTGCAATAATATGGATGGACCTTGAGAACATTATGCTAAGTGAAGTAAGTCAGAGAAAGACAAATACTGTATGGTCTCACTCATATGTATAATCTAAAAACACTGAAATTATAGAAATACAGAGTAGATTGCTGGTTACCAGGGGTTGGGGGAAGTGGGGGAAATGGGCAGATGCTGGTCAAAGGGTACAAACTTTCAATTAAAAGATGAGTACAGCATGGTGACCACAGTTAACAGTATTGTATCCTTGCAAGTTTCTGTTAAAGAGCTGAAATGTTGTCAATATAACAACAAAAAAGGTAATTACATAATGTCACGGATGTGTTAACTAAATTTATTGTGGTAAACATTTGCTACACACACACACACACACACACACACACACACACGTATAAAATCATCACACTGTACACCTTAAACATACATGTTATATATCAATTGTATCTCAATAAAGCTGGAAAAAATGTGATACACTCCAAAGCCTTTCCCAAACTTACTTGACTCCAAACTTCTCAACACATACATCAATTAGTATTTTCTACAAAAACGTTCCCTGGAACACCCAGTTTGGGAAACACCGTAACAGTCAGACTCATGTTGTCTTTTCAATTCCTCCACCTGCCAGGAAGAACCTGCCTGTACAGCAGGGGGAGGGAACTGGAGAAACGGAATGCTTTGGGAAAAGATTAAGTTTTGCAAAGCTAACACTGACTGATGCCAAATCAATCATCCAAGTGGCACTGGGATGGGGGGAGATATCTTTATATCCATGGCCAGGAGGTCCATGGGACTGTGGCAGAAGGGAGCCTAAGTCAGGCCCTATCCATCTGCTGCCCCACCTGGCTGCACAATCTGGGGACACTGAGGCAAAGGAGAAGGAGGACTGAGGTGAGAGCTTTCATTTGTCCCATTCCATCAGCCTCCTTCCAGAGGGTTAGAGTGTTCAGAGGACTGTGAGGTCTAGAATGGCCCTATCCACCGGATGTAGGGTGCAGGGGCCTTGGACACAGGGAAGCAGAGGAGAGAGCAGCCAGCCGGAGCCAGGAGGAAAGAACTCCTCACTGCCAGAAAAAGAGCAAGACCTTCCCCAGTGCTGCCTGCCCTGCAAGTGGGAGCCTGGCAGGACTCAGCCTTTGGCTGCTTCTCTTACCTTTGTTCAGGGAGGGCACCTTCAAGGGGATGCTGATGATCCCGACCAGGTCCTCTGTGGGCACGAGGGAGCGCAGAATTGACCTGATCCGGATGGCTTCCCCCTTTCCTGTCTGGATAAGCTGCAACGCAGGGTTGGAGAATGAGATTAAGGAGGCTCCCATACCGCTTCCCCACCCCATGTCCAAACCACCGGCAGTGACATTGTTCTTAAGGCCGGGTATGCTTCTATACTTCCCTAACTGCCACAGACGTTTAGGGTCATGGGGCAAAAGGGGAGATTTCTCTCGATTTTCCACAAGAGGTGCTACTGAGGGAATAACCCTGACTGAGGAGGTCACTTGATTCCTTTGCTGGGATTGCAATGGTCAGGCAGTTATGGGATCAAGTCTCTGCAGTAAATGCGGGGGCTGCTGGGGTTTCTCAGAGTCACTGCAATCCCGGGAGCTCTCCGTGGTCATGACGGAGGTGTTGACACTGTGGCCACAATTCTCGACTTCAGAATTCAGTGAAATATAGAAATGACTGATGAATTTCATTTCCTAAAAGTCTGATTAATGCTTGGGCTGGGGGTGGAATTTCGAGGACGTCATGGAGGATGTGAGCGTCTCAGTGGAGTTATCCCGAGATGGATAACCTGACGCATTCAACCAGGAAGGGGCCAACCAGCCTGTGCAGGGGCACATCCTCGGGAACACGGGGGCAGCAGGTACACTTCTGGGCACAGGCTCTCAGCTGAGAACTGAACTGTTACGAGGTCAGGATGGAATATGCCCTGGTCAGCTGGATGGTGTGCTGGAAGATGGCTCTTGGAGGCCCCAGGGGAAAACTGCCTATGCGCTCACCCTAGCTGCCACCTCTCATTCCTGTGGGTATAAGGGAGGCTGTCAGTGATGATGGCATCTACCCTCCCACCCCCACTTACAGAGTAGGGGCCCAAGGGAGGGGTGCTGGGAAGGGGTATGTGTCAAGTGCTGAAGCAGAGGGGCAGGCAGGAAGGAAGCACCTCCTTCACAGATGGGGCTCTAATGGCTTAGGGGTCTCATGAGGGTGTCTTCCTGAGAATAAGCCAGCTGTGTCACCTGCTTTCTGAAGTGATGACAGGTGATCAGGGGAGCTGACACCTGCCCCATCCTGTTCTCAGACTGCAGAACACCCTAGTATTTCCCTTGCTCCCTTTCAAGCTTCCTTTATTTGTTTAAAGGCGTAGAAATGTAAAGATGGGCCTTGTGGATAAGGCTGGTTTATCACATAGTAGGAACCAGAATCTTCAGTTAAGAATTCTGATCAGGTGGGCGCCTGGGTGGCTCAGTTGGTTAAGTGACTGCCTTCGGCTCAGGTCATGATCTTGGAGTCCCAGGATCGAGTCCCGCATCGGGCTCCCTGCTCAGCAGGGAGTCTGCTTCTCCCTCTGCCCTCCCCTCTCTTCAGCCTCTCTCTCATTCTCTCTCTCAAATAAATAAAATCTTAAAAAAAAAAAAAAAGAATTCTGATCAGGCTCCCCTATCAAGATTTAGACTTTCTTCTATCCACAGTACTTTTAACATAGATTCTTCCATATTGTAATAGTCTCCCTAAACACATGAGATTAAGGAGGCTAGACTGGGCTAGATTGTGTTTTAGGCAAGCCCATGACCTACTGGAAGAAAGTTAAGAGTGGATGCTGTAGTGCAGTGTTCTAACCCATAGGTCATGACCAATTAGTGGGTGTAAAATCAAATTAGTGGGTTGTGACTTGCATTAAAAAGCATATTAGTATAGAACAGCAAATATTAGAGTGAGGTGTCTGTAGTAAGGGTAAATTTTGCTTCTGGAATATATGTATACTAGGTAGCAATGGAAATTATTATTTCTTACTATACCTAAAACAATTTTTTTCATTAAGAACTTTGAAAGCCACTACTTGAATGGATTCTTTCATTAGTACTTAAAAAAATACAACATATCCACTGTTAACTTGTCAATGACCAAATACACAATCTCATCAATACCAGATACCACTGTTTATATCAACCCAATCTGCACTGCAAGCACTTTTTGGGGGATACCTTGGAATAATCCAAATGTAGTGAGCAGGGCAGAAAGAGGCAGGCAGGCACCAGAGCCTCGAATGAGCAAATCAAACAGTTCTTTTAAAGAATTACCTAGTACATTTTGTAATTAATAATTTTTAAATCTTTTCTATTTTGATATAAAAAGCAACTATTTCCTCCCTCACTTATGACATGAGGCCTTCTGTGAAATAAGGTCACTCTCTCTCTGCCCCGAGCATAGGTAAAAAAGGGAAGAGGAAGAACACAACTTTTTAGGTTAAAACTGGGGGCCTGAGAAGGCATCCCATAAACATTGAACCATCTTTTTCCAGATGCCCGCAGAGCTTATCTCCGGAAAGTAATCAAACGTGAACCATGGGAAGAGACTGCCTTTCTGGTGTCTCACACCATGGGCATTGGGAAAAGAGGATTTTCCATGTGGAGTGTCCCAATGGCCACAGTCAAGAATCAAGTTGGTCACATTCTGACCATATTGAAGGATATGGAAACATAATTTTTAGGGGCTTCTGAAACAGAATATGTGGGGGATGTGCCCAACCAGCACCACAGAGAAATCACACACACAGGGATTTGCTCAGGAGTCATTCCTTTAGAAGGCTGCAGAATCGGCAACAAGAGATGGAAACGACTTTTGATGTTAGCTGAAAGGAACTGAGAGAAAGGGGTGTTAGCAAATGCCAGAGATTGAAGAAGAAATTACATTCAGGGACTCTCCAGCGCTCTTCACTCAAGCCCCTCAAAGTTGCCCTCTGGGAACTCACGTGCATTTCAGGTGCACAGCGGCCCAGGAGATCTATAAGAGCTGAATAAAAAGACATAATTGCGTTGCCCATGTGCACGATCTCCTCATCTTCACTGTCCTCCAAGCTGCGGAGAGAGAACCAACATGGGGGAGGTGTGAGGAAGGCTGGCAGGTGTGGCCATGTTGTTAGACATGAGCTGCTTGACCTGGAAACACTCTGCTCATCCTGAGCATCACACATCCTTTCCCCGGGACACCTTCTCTCCCAACGAGGTGGTTTTACTCAGTAAGCTCAAAGGACCCAAATATTTGTCCGTGGAATTCCTATGATCCCCTGAACTTTAAGGCCTACGTACTGCCATGAGCTGATCTTGCAGACCATACATACCCATGGAGTGGCGCAGTAATCCCCAAAGCTCCTACCAACCGTTCATTCCATTTCCCTTCTTGAATGTACATGGAAAGCATACCGGACATGGAGCCAGGAGGGGTAAGTCCATGCCCTGGATCTGTTGCTAACAAGCTATATGACCCCAGCCTCGGTTTTTTCATGCAACGCGAGGAAGGTGCAGCAGATTACATTTTGGGTTCTTTCTAGTTCTACCAGATCACCTACCAGAATGAATAACCAAAAAACCCCCCAACTGGCTAGAGAATTACCCCTGTTGGGTCATACCCATTCTCCAGATTCTGGGGTCTGATCTAGAGGCTATGATAAAGGAAAGGGAGCTGGGCATGATACACCAACTACATCCTGAACCTTTAAATACTGGGATTATTGATGCTGTAGTTTTTCACATACTGCACTCTCTTTTTTACCTAAGGAATCAAATCAAAACACTTTCAGAAGGGAAAGTGGAGGGTACTACCTCTTTTTAAAAGTGAGGTAAGAGAGGAGGCACTGAGGTTTAAATTCTGAAGGGAATGGGCTGAAGTGAGACTGTGGCCGTTAGTAACCTTGGTCAGTCCAGTCTTTAGCCTCGGCAGCTTCCTCCTGTAGTGATGCCATGGGGAGGTGTAGTGGTGGCTGAAAGAGCTTGCAGACGTCTCGATCTGCCCGTTGGTGTAGGAGTGGAATAGGAGAAATGCAAAAGGGTGAAGGTGATCCTGACCACTAGGTTTACTGGGAGAGTCAGGACAGCAGTGTGCTTGACAAAGTGATTTAAAATATTTTAACTACAACTATAAAGAACCTGTGCTTTCCCCACCAGGGGGAAGTTATCGATATTTCCTTCATAATCCAGGTACTGACCACCTTCGGGAGCTCACCAACTATATCAGCGCCGCAAGGCAATTCCATTCACTTACACTTCTCTCTTGTATCCCTGAGAGGGGAGGTCGAGGGCTGGGTTCTCAGAGATCTTAATGGCGCCCTGCATGGCTGCCAATAGACCGTTTCCTCCTTCACCTCGCAGGGCTGGGCCGAAGCACTCCGGGCGTCTGATGAGCAGCTTGACCACAACACTAGCATTTTCTTCCACACTTTCGCCTAAGGAAAAGGGGCATTATTTCCTTTTTATTGGAAAGGACAACCCCAGGGTTTATTTCTAAATTGATGAGGTTGGGAGAACAGTACTGGCTTGAGCTTGTCACTCATTTGTAAAATTAGGAGGTAAAACTGGTAGAGAGAAAGGTGAGCTTTGATAAATTAGGTCCAGATCTGTTTTTGAAGTATTAAGATTAACCATTATAAAACAGAATCTTAAAGTTCAGGATTTTGTGCTGTGATTATTTCACTACATTTAGATCCTCAGAAAGCAAAAAATGCACTACTGAGTCTTCCCCAGATTACTGATTCAGTCACAAGTGACTTAGAGGACAAAGAACTTGACATCTGGGGCGCCTGGGTGGCTCAGTTGTTAAGCGTCTGCCTTCGGCTCAGGTCATGATCCCAGGGTCCTGGGATCGAGCCCCGCTTCGGGCTCCCTGCTCTGCAGGAAGCCCGCTTCTCCCTCTCCCACTCCCCCTGCTTGTGTTCCCTCTCTCGCTGTGTCTCTCTCTCTCTGTCAAATAAATAAATAAAATCTTAAAAAAAAAAAAAAAAGAACTTGACATCTTTGTTAACTTCACGAGAGGCTGTGAAAACCTACCTCCTTCCTTCCCTGAGAAGAGGTAAAATGGTAACTCAAGCTGATGGCCTCAATTAAGATCTAAGGAAACAACATGTTAGCCCCCCAAATGCATTCTCAGAGTCTAAACACGTACCTCAGAACAACCAAGTTTGTGTGGATGGACATCAGGGCGTTTCTGACATTATTGATCCAGATAATCTACTTGGTAAATTTGTCCTGGTTATTCCTAAGTTACCTCTCTGGGAAGCTGAAGGTTGGAGAATTGTATTCTGCTGGTATTTTCTCTTTGGAAGAACATGGACAACTAAGACAGGGCTCATTTCTCAAAGCAGTGATGAAGCGGTGGAACTGGAACACTTAGGGAGGGGGAGCCAGTGGCTCTCAGAGAAAATTCTTCTCACTGAAAGCAGTTCTACAGCTTGTTCAAACAACTTCATGAAACACATCTTCTGCCTCAGATGAAATCTTAATTTGTGTTGAGAATTTATCCCTGGGCTAAGACTCTGAGAAAAGACTTTTTTGATGTTGTGTATCAGATGAAGGCTGACAAAAATTTTTTCTACAAGATCGTCAGATATCCTTGGAGGATTGAGCTCTCTAACAGAGGCTGGCAACTTGCATGAACCAAGTCATTCCAAGTGGTTGAGACTTATGATCTCTTCCTTAGGGCTTTCTAACCTATGGAGGAAGGAGCTGGGCATAGGTCAGTAAACTACTATGGCAGCACAGAGAGCAAATGAGGAACTGTTTCCCCATTTGGTCATTAATTCAACCATTCATTAAGCTCACATTACTCATTAGTCACTGATTCTTTGGCCCAGTGGACAAGCAGTGTAGAAGACAGGCAAGCCTGGACCCCAGAATGAGATGAGTGGAAAGGTCTATTTACCTGCAGCAGAGCTTCCCAAATACCTTACAGATATGTGAGCAAGAAATAAATGCTTATTATTCTATGCCATTGAGACTATAATGCTTTTTGTTATGCAGCAGAGGTCAATTAACACAGGCTGAGAGTAGAAACAGGGAAATAGTTCCTATGCAGCCCCAGTGGTCCAGGTGGAAGATAATGATGGTGTGGAGTAGGATGTGGCCAGTGGAGATGGAGAGAAATCCAAGTTGATGGATTCCAGGTAAATTTTAGACACTGAGCCTACAGAATTTTAAGTGGATTGAATATGGGGATAAGGAAAAAGTCTGAATGGAGGATGCCACCTAAGATTTTTGAGTATCTGCAGTTAGTAGTGCTAGCTAGGGACATGGGGAAGCTAAGAGAACAAGTCTGGGGCAGATATACAAATTAAGCCTTAAGATCTACAAAATGTGAAATGCCTATCCAACGTTCAAGTAGAAATATCAAGTAGGCAGCAGGTTACACAAGTCTGGGGCTCAGGGAAGAGAAAAAGGATGGAAATGTGTATTTGGGGGACCATTAGCAAACATGTGGAATTTAAAGATAAGGGATTGAATGAAAATCTTGCAGGATGGACTGGTATAGTAGTCCAGAAATTCTGGAGGCTAGTATTTAATTCCAGAATCATGCTAAAATGTTGCCCATGTATCTAGAGTTTGGATCCATATCGCTTTTTCATGAAATGTGTTAAATAAAACTTGAGTGAGCCTGAAACCTGGAGTCAGAGTTGAGGTGTGCTCTAATAGAATAGAACTCACCTGTTAAATAGGGACATTCTCACTGACTTGATGAAAATCAGTTTGTGGTGAGTATCAGGATCATAATACTGTCACTTTGGGGGAATAATGTTGATGAAGCAGCTTTTGCCCTGCTTTACTATTTCAGTTAAAATCCACAATATTATGTAGGTACCAGGCTTCATTTGCCATTGTTATCAATAAAATAATTGATGAAGAGCCCATGTACATATGGATTCAGCACATTTGGGCTCATGCCAAAATGCTCAGCCATCAGAACTGCTGGAATCCCACAGGCAGCAGTGGAGGAGAAATGCTGAATAATTTACTTAGCATGAAAATAACAAGGCCACACAGCTTTTCACCCCAGCCAGATTTCCTCATTTTGGTGTTCTGGGTATTCATTTGCCATTGGCTTATTTATTTTGAGTGATTTTTTTTTATTATGTTCGGTTAGCCAGCATATAGTACATCATTAGTTTTTGATGCAGTGTTCAACAATTTTCTATTACTCGTGTTGTTTTGACTATCTCTGGGTTTTTATAGTTTCACTTTGAGTTTTTACAGATGGAGTCACATTTCCTTGTCTTTGTCACTATAAGCCCATCTTGACCCCAATGACCAATTTCCTTCTCCTTCTCAGGCACAGGGATTCAAGAAGCTCCATTGGGAGAATGAGGAAGGTGGCGTAGAAGATATTTCCCAAGCCTCATAATTGGTGAGATGTTGTAACTCAGACATTAAGTACCCAACCCCCACTAGTCATATCTCAATTGCACCTCATATTCTATCTTCTCTCACCACGATAGCCTGAAGTGTGTCTCCTGAGTACAACACTGTGATGTTGTTTATAATTGTCTTAAACTGTTATTTAAATCTTTTACTGTTGGTCAATTTTTCAAAAGTTTGCCGAATCTTTCCAACTATATTGTAAATGTGAGAATAAGAACAATGTCTCACACATTTTAATCCTAACCATCCCTAGTCTTCAGTACCAATCACACTTAAGAGTGGTTATTACATCCTTTCTGACTCTGATAACATAAATACATGGATGGAAATGACCCGGCTGATTCTTTTAAGCATCTGTATCTACTGTGCCCTTCAAAGGTACCAAAGCTATTTTGTGCCTTTGACCCTAAAATTTTTTTTTCCAGCTTTACTGAGATAAAATTGATATATCTTAAAAGAGTCACGTCTCCTAGATCAAGGGCCAATCAGTAGGCTCTGACCACACTACTCTGTTAAACTATGTCCCTTCGTTTCTTCACGATGTGTTATTCAACACTTGCCTTTCCCCCCAGGTATTCCTAGATTCACTCTACCAGATTCCAACAAGCACTGTCATTTTTGGCATGTCACTAGTCACACATGTCACTATGTAGATAGGTGTAGTCAGTTACAATGTTTTTAGTAATTATTCCATGTACATTTCTCATAATTCCACTTAGGTTTCCTCTGTTTCTGGCTTTGACTTATGCCTTCAGGGTTTTTAGAGCATGTCTCTTCTCACATCTCATGGCCTGTCATATACACTTCCCATGTCACCTAATGGATACCCAAGGTATGGTCACTGATGACAAATCTGCCTAGGAAAACAGATTCATCAAAGCTAGGAATATTGTGTCCCTCACAACTAAGTTTATAGCCTGGGAAAGATATCACTAAAATACTCCAAGGACTCAAAGGAATCACAGAATAACTTTTCCCTTTTTCTTGTGGATTGTTAAGTAATCTTCCTCCTTGGAATCTACATTAGGAAGGGATTAGTCAGACACCCTGACACATCTGTGTCTAGACTGGTTATAAAGTTTACAACTGCTGGGTAAATAGAAGCTTCTCAGCTTCATTACTCCCAGAGTAAAACACAACCCAAGGCTTCTGAGCAAGCTAATAAAAAAAAGTGGAGCAAATTATATGCTTTAAGAAGTTTCTTTTCAAAACAAATCTTGTTTAAGAAGATTTAATACAAACATTAAGAGAGACTAGTAAAATAATGTTAGAAAGAATTTTCCAATTTTATTATTTTGATATAGAAGAGCTTTTGATTTGGCTTTTAAAAATTAAAAAAAAATTAATACCAAACAGTAATTAAATAATGCTGCAATTTTTGAACAGCTCAAAGGAGAAAATGCTTTTTCTCTTTGTCCATTCATTAGAAAGACTGTACTACCAAGACAATACTGTACAATGGTGTGAGTAATGTTTGGCCTCTGGGGCCAAACTGCTCCAGTTCAAATCCTGGCTTTACATCCTACTAGCTGTGTGATTCTGGGCAAGGTACTTAACCCCTCTAAGCAACTGGGTCTCTTTCTCTGTAAGATGAAGAAGATAACTGTACCTCTCTCATTGGATTTTTGTATTATGTGAGTTAATACGTCCAAAAGTGCTTTGAACAGTTCCTGGCACATGGTTAAGTGCTCAAAAAGGGTTAGCTGCTATCATCACCACCACCATCCTCACCAACTCCATCATCACTCACCACCACCCACCACAGTCACCCCCACACCCCACTATGACAATCCACCCCACAACCATCACATCTCACCAACACCCACTATGACCAGCCCATTGTCACTCATCACTACGTACAACCATCACTGCACCTCTCACTAACCACCACCCACTTCAATCACCCCCAAAACCTGCTATGACCACTACTCAACCATCATATCCCCCAAACAATATCATCACCAACTACTACCCACTATTACCATCCCACCATCATCCACCATAGCCACCTGCCACCACCTACCATTATTCATCATCATCACTCTCACCACCTCCCATGATCACCTATAATACCTTTATCTTTTACTGCTGAGTAGAGGCCACAAACAGTCCTTTCTAATCACCTTTTAGACATGAAAACTTATAAAGGGCTTTGAGATCCCTAAAGAATCTATTTATCAGAGTCTTCCCATTTCAAATGCCCTAATATTCTTGTAAAGATCATAAACAACAATGACAACTATCATGATTGCAGGCTTACTACATTTCTGGCACTGTGCTAATCTAAGTTTTCCATGGATTATTTCATTTAAGCCTTACAACAACTCTGTGAAGTACATACTATTGTTATCTCTACTTAACACACACACACACACACACAAACTGAGGCTAGGGAAGTTTTAGTAACTTGCCTAAACTTGCAAAGCTAGTAAGTGGCAGTTATATTTGTACCCCAGATACTCCACCCTCCAGCCTAAAGTCTTCCATATCACTCTGCTGTGCTTAAAGCACTCCTTCTCCTTCTTTAGGGGTGCAAGAAGATTCTAACGTTTCTTTCTCACACTCTCCATCTATCTCTCTTTCGTGCTTCCCCTGGGACAGGCTACTCCCACCATTTCAACTACAGATGATGTGTGAGTCTCTTCAGTCCCAATCTGTGGACTGATTGATCTCTCTCTCTCTCAAAACTCAATCAGGGCATCCCCATTTTGGGGTCACACACTGCAAAATCAATGAACTGTTGGTTTGAATGAAACCAAGCTCATTATCTTCTATTACAAACCATTTTCTCCTTCTCACATATCTGTCTCTTTCCCTTTCTCCTTCTCTCCTTCTCTCCTTCCCTCCTTCCCTCCTTCCCTCCTTCCTAGAGAGGGAGAGGGGAGAAACAGAGGGAGAGGGAGAGAGAATCTCAAGCAGGCTCCATGCCCAGTGCAGTGCCCTACCTGGGGCTCAATCTCACAACCCTGAGATCATGACCTGAGCCAAAATCAAGAATCAGATCTTTAACCAACAGAATCACCCCAGCTCCCCTCACATCTTTATTTCTTTTTCTCCCTATGCTTAAATCTCTAAGCTTCAATGTGACTTCCATTTCTTTTTATCAACACAACCAGGCCCAACTACCATAATCATCATCATCACCTAGTTGTATAAATACTGTCTCTGTAATTTCTTTCAAATGTATCTCCCCCATTCCATTCCTACCACCATTATTATCATTTAGAAACTCATTATTTTAACCTGGGCACAGAAGTTCCCAGTGGTTCCCATCAGTCTCTCTCCAGTTAAAAAGGTTTCCCAGTTCTCTGCAACTGAATCTAAACTTTTCAGCTTAGCATCTAGGTTCTTTCTGTTATAGCTGCCTACCTACCTTTTAAACCTCATCTCTTGCCACTGTCATCCACCTATCTATCCTCCAGACCAACAGATTACTCTCTTTCCTGAGCACAGCATGCTTTAGTCTTGAGGCAACTGTTCATGCTGCTCCCCAGCTGGATCACCTTTCCTGCATCTATGCATCTGGGAAATGTGACCCTTTGAAGCTCATTTCTAATATCACCTCCTCCATGAGGCCTGCTCTGATCTTCTCAACAGGATGTGAGTTTCCCCTCATGAAGCCCTACAGGACTCTGTCCCTGCCTTACTCTACTTATTATAGTGACCTCTGTTCATGTCTACTCTCCCTTACTAGACTATACATTTTTGGGAAGCAGAAGCTATTTATCTTTTGCCAAAACCAAATGTGGCCTTTATATTATAGAGACACATATACATTACATCAAAATGTATGTATTGGGGCTTCTTGGTGGTGCAGTTGGTTGAGCATCCAACTCTTGGTTTCAGCACAGGTTATGATCTCAGGGTCTTGGGATTGAGCCCCTGCATGAGGCTCTGCGCTTAGCACGGAGCCTGCTTGAGATTCTCTCTCCCTCTGCCCCTCCCACTCATGCTCGCTCTCCAATAAATCTTTAAAAAAAAAAATAAAATGTATATATTTTCCTACTGATGGGCCAATTTGCTAGAGTTCATTGCTTTATGAAACTGCACTATAAAGAATATGCAATGGGTGCCTGGATGGCTCAGTCGGTTAAGCGTCTGCCTTCAGCTCAGGTCATGATTGCAGGGTCCTGGGATCGAGCCCCGCGTCGGGCTCCCTGCTCAGCAGGAGAGTCTGCTTCTCCCACTTCCTCTCCCTCTGCCCCTGCTCGTGTACTCTCTCTCCTGCTCACTCTCTCAAATAAATAAATAAAATCTTAAAAAAAAAGAATATGAGAAAAAGGCATAAAACCACCTGAAAGCAAAGGGAGTAGACTAGACTAAACATTTTGGTCTAGAGTTTAGTTCAATATGGTCATATGTAACCAGGATAAGCAAATGTTGGAGTTTGGGCAATCTCAATAGGAACAGAGCTAATGGATTCCTTTACCTTCATAACCTATATAGACAGTCCCACTAAAATGACTCATAAAGCTCTTGATCTTGTGAAGGTGGCCAAGATGAATGAATACATTAGTCCTGGCTTGATTTGTGTCATACAGTCTACTCAGATAATTTAGTGAGATTTATGAACCCTTAAAAACCACTTAAAAATTTTTCCCTATTATCACAGTTACTCTGAATTAATTCTGCACATGCGGTCATTTGGATTGAAAGTGCAACAGACTATTAGAGGATTTGCTGACATTGGCCTCAAAGAAAATGGAATTCAGCAATGCTGGAGATGAATAGATAGGGACACTGAAGAGTAGAGAGAGCAGCAGAAGATGGGTGATCAAGAATCTGGCTGGATGAGACCCAGGAAGAAAAGGGGGGAAAACCAGGATGATGGAAATCATTCAAATATTAAGAGCAGAGTGTATTACAGTAGAGGAAGGTAAGCAGGTGGGATGGGGATGAAAGGAGACAAGAAAAGTACACAGTAATACAATGATCCCGTCGTGGCAATATACTTTGAGATAAACTCTTACACTTAGAACATTTGGTCTGATTGCTCATGAGCAGCAATCCCTCTTTGCAATCATGTAATGAGCCAAGCTGGATTTGTTAGCCTGGAACTCCAAACTGGGAGAAAGGAGAAGGATCATGATTCTCATGTGAATATAATGAATTAGTATTAGAACAAAATCTTGGGGGACAAGGTACATTTCCAAGAAAGCAGCCCACTTAATTTTACACAATATTCAGTATATTATACTCAGGGAACTAAAGAAGTTTTGTAGACTTGGAATTCATTATAAATGGGAAGTAATTTGTGTTAAGAAGAATAGTATTTAAGGTTGCCACAGAAATACTTCTCTCTTGGGAGTTTAGTTACCTTTTACAGCTATTTAGTTATTCTTAATTTTTATGCATGCATGTATCCATCTATCCAACAGTCTAAGGATCTGAAGGCACATCTGCATTTAGCTTTGTGAAATTGGTGAGATGAAGATATTAATAATTCCTGCTTTTCCTGAGAGAAGAGGTACAAAGCCGTGAAAAAAGCCCTAGCCTCTGCCTTGATTTTCTTGCTGCATCTGGCACTAGCGCTCAGTAGTCTGTCCATCGGACGCTATTCTTGATCCTTCTCTGGCCTGATTCTCCCTGAGCCTGTTTGGCCAGCTGCCACTTATAGGCAGGAAGAAAGGCAAAGGACCTCTCTTTCCTTATATGTCCCCCAGTTTATGCCACCCTAGATCTGAAAGGCATTAAAAATCTGGGACTCACTGTTCACAAAGACGGCAAACCTCAGGAAGGACAGGTAACGTTCCCCTTCAATGGGGTTCCAGCCGACATCAGGGTATCCTTTGGCTAGAAGCATGGGACAGCTCTGCAGGCCACAGCCTGCCAAGTAGGTCACCACCTGCCAACAACAGTACAAAAGTAAGTGTCTACGTTTTTTATAAGATAGCTGTCAGGCCTATAAAATTCTGGGGACAGAAGGGCTTTCATTCTCCCAGAAGCTAGAGAGAGCCCCAAACTTTTAAGTTAATAATTCAGTAGGTTTGAAACCAGAACTTCCAATTCATTATTGTTTCCAAGTAACCAATAGGACTGATTATCACTCTTAGGGAGGAATACTCTATGAGCTCTCAGTTCCTTGGTTTTCCCAGTTCTGGCAAGAGGGAACTGCCATTTAAACACAGCTCTAATGGGGCGCCTGGGTGGCTCTGTAGGTTAAGCGTCCGACTCCTGATTTCGGCTCAGGTCATGATCTCAGGGTCACGAGATGGAGCATTGCGTTGGGCTCTGCGCTCAGTGGGGAGTCTGCTTGAGATTCTCTCTCTTCCTCTGCCTCTCCCCCCACGTGTGTGCGCACATGCTCACACACTCTCTCTAAAAGTTAATAGATCTTAAGGAAAAAATAAACACAGGCCTAACTAGGAGGCATCTGGGGAGATAAGGGGTCCAGGAGGGCTATGTTCATTTGGCCATGTTATTTTAAGGCCGAAGTATTCAGTTACTGGTTGACTCTGAGTGGGCCCTTGACAAATTGGGGATCCCTACTTAAGTTCTGCATTACCAATCATGGTTTCAAGTCAAAAGCCAAGATGTTAAGGTTGGGGTGGTGAGTGAGGGTGCCATGGCCAGTTAAGGGCTGGGATTCGTAGTGTTCTCTTTGCTTCCGGGTCACCGGATCTCAGCCCTGTGATCTTGTAGACTAGTTTAGAACTTGCCTACTTTTTAGAAGGTGTCAAGCAAAAAAAAAAAAAAAAAAGGCCTGGCAAATAGACCTTTGCTTGAAATGCAGTTGTTATTCTTTTTTTTTTTTTCCCAGTTGTTATTCTGATTTAGCCTTTGACATTTTATGTGTACAAGGAGAAGGGGAGAATCCACGGTGCTGCAAAAATCCTCAAAGTCATTCATTTTTGAATCCCCAGAGCCCAGCATATAGCAAATAGTCAATACATAGTTTTCAAATGAATCACGTATTTGCTGATGTCAAATACTCTAAGTCCTTTTGTAAGAATAATGAATCTAAGGCACAACTCATATGAAAGTCATCACGTTTTTTTTTCTTCTTAAACCAGTAAAGATACTATTCTGCTTGGAGCTCGGACTTGATTTGGCCTTTAAAGTGTCAGGAAAACATCAATAAAGGCAGGAATTAGGCAGTGTTTTCAAAGTTATAGAAGCAGCACATTTCACTGGCCACTGAAATAAGCGCCACGTGTGTGTGTGTGTGTGTGGGGGGGTTGTTGTTCAATCTTAAGGGACCTAATTTCTGCTGTGATCAATGGAAAGGAAGAACGGCAGGAACTCTCCCAGGAACCACACTTGGGTGATTTCCTGACACTGGGCTGAAAAAAGCCCGTAGCACTGGGCTGAGCTGCTGAGCCACTGGAACCACTGGAAGACGGGGTGGCAGACCTCATCCTGCCCCTTTACTCGTCTCCCTAGGTCCCCCTTTCTCCCCTTTCCCAGCCTCCCGGCCTCTCCTTATCCCATCCTGCATCTTCCAAGGGAGGCTTAGGGTCATTGTCAAGCAGGGTCATTTCAAAAGCTGAACTGCAGCTAAGGAGGGGTACTGAGTACTAAATCTCGTGGCACTGTCCTGCTGTAAGAGAACCATCAGCCACTTTCCTATACAGGCACCAGTTACCTCACAAACTAAAACACGGAGGTTTTATTTATTTATTTTTTTTGAGAGAGAGAGAGCGTGTGCGAGTGAGCGGTGAGTGGGAGGGGCAGCGGGGGAGGGAGAGAGAGAATCTTAAACAGGTTCCACACTCCCTGATACAGGGCTCGATCTCACGATCCTGAGATCATGACCTGAGCCGAAATCAGGAGTCAGACACTTCACCGACTGAGCCACCCAGGCGCCCCAAAACACTGAGTTCTTGATTGCTGTTTCAGTGCATGTGGAGCAGAGTTTGACTGAAGTCTGTCTCACTAGCAGACCAGGAATAGCCATGGCATTTGTGGAAAAGCGTTCACACAATGTACTGCTGGGAGGCAGAACATTTGAGTCTGTGTGTGTATGGGAGGGGGTGTGTCTTGTTTCAGATCCAATTGGTTCTTCTCGCTAAAACCAGGCTGTGTTTTCTAAAATACAAGTCATGTTGTGTCACTCCTCTGCTTAAAGCCCTCCGATGGTTTCCTTCGCTCTTGGCTCTACAGAGAGGTCCTAGCATTGAACAGGTAACAGCATGGCCTCTGGAGCCAGACTCTTTCAGATCCTGGCTCTTACACTTAATAAACCTCACGACGCTGAGCATATTAGCTAACCTCTCGATGCCTCAGTTTCCTCTCCTATAACTGGGGGCACTAACAAAAAGGCATGTTCTGAGGGTCATGTTCATGTGATTTAATTCAGAGTGGACCGGGCCCACGGTGACCATGTAGGAGTATGAACGTCTACCATGAACAGTTATGGTAGCATCAAGCCCAATTCCCTACTGTCCCTCCTCACTCCCCAGGCACTCCCTTCAAACACCCCATGATTCCTCACATCCACTTTCCCAGTTCTCGGGCACACCATGCTCTCCTCATTAACCTCAAACATTCCCGGCACACTTTCCCCAATGGTGTGGCTGCTTGGTTTCTACTCTTCCCTCAGCTCATCACTCTCCTGAGTGACCTTCCTGATCCCCTGGTCACGGTGAGCCCTGCCTCGCCCACACACTTCCAAACCCCCTGTTCAGTGGATGACCTCCTACTTGTCCCCCTTGCCCTCAACACATCAGTCTCCTTCATACTCAGGGAGTATACTGTGAATCTTGGCAGCCACCTAGTCAAGGAAATAGCCCCAAAATGAAGGGTGAAAGATGTAGGTGACTCAGCCTCCAGTCATCACCACCAGTGGGGGCGCATTTCACAGTCCCCATGTGGGGAGTCTCAGTTTTGCTTCAGCTGAACCTGCAGAGGATGTGTGGGCCTTCTTTATCAGTATACTGATTATACAGTTTTCTGTCATGTTTCTTTCTTTAGTGTGTGGACTTAAAAATTCGATGATACAGAACTTTATTAAGATCCACAGGTCTCTGGTGATGTTCCATGTAGACCAGTGAGGCTGGGCCTCCACATACAGAGAACACAAATATCCAGATACCCATGTCTATGACGTTGGCTCTTCCTGCCCATAGGAGATGCTCTGGTCCTAATTATCAGACTGCTGCCAGTTACTCACTTTCTACCACATTTTCATGGAGTGTTGAAGAGGTTCTGATGGAGACCCAGTCTTCGGTCTGCATTTCCTTGGCTTGGCTAGGCTACAGGCAGGAGAGGGCAAGCACATTGCCTCCCCGGGGCCAGTTACCTTCTCGAGGTCCGGTTCTTCTAAGCCCAGCGCTAACTCGTTGTTGTCCATCACGGAGGAAGCTGCCACATCCAGTGGGGTAGATCCTCTCATCGAAGGGGAGGCTGAGGAAGGAAGAGAGGAGAGAGAAAGGGATGGGGGCCGCCCAGTGCTGAGCTGAGGTTGCAGTGCCCACTCATGGTCAGGAGAGGGCAGCAAACACACTAAACCTGGGTCCCATCGTTGTTCAGAGGGGGCTGCCTGCCCAATTTAAGAACAGCTCTGTTTATTATCCTTGTCCCCACACTCATTACTGATTGCGAATATGAAGTAAGTTAGAAAATCGGTTGACAGAATTAGCCGGGACCATGTATTTTCAAGTACTTTCATAACATGATCCTTCTTGGGGGCCCTACCTCGGTGATCCCTCAAAAGGTAGAGAGGCCACTTAACCAACTAAGCTCAAATGACTTGGCCATGTCTAGGGCCACCACCCAGAATTTAAAAATAGCCTCAAACAGCATGAGTTCATATAGTTCTATCAGGTCACCAGTGTTGTCTTTGATTTTCCTTTGTTTGATTCTTAGGCTAGAATTAAGAAAAACTTTTTTTTTTTAATAAAAGGTTGGTAGTCTGAGGTTGCATTTGATAAATCAGAAACTTGAGATTTCAGATTTTACATGGACGTAAGCGTGGTTTTGCGTCTTTCACAAATTCCCTTGGTTTACACCCAGGACAGTGAGTGAAGCATATGCACTGTGTTGTTTTTTTTTTGGTGGTGTCGATGGATTCACACTGCTTATCCACAGTTGCTCGTGGCCAGTCCACCCTGCCGCTTAGGAGAGCACTGTCTAGTTGGCTGATGGGACAGGTACGTAGCCGACAGCCAGCCTGCCAAGCAGGGCTCGGATCTCTGGCCTTGCTCTGTCTCATCAGCGCTGCTCCCTGGTCAGCAGAGTGGGCTGGGGGTGGGGGAGCTGCGTCCCCGGACTCGATCTGCAATCTCAGGCAGCATCTCATAAGCCATGAGCCACTGGTCCCAGGGGAGACAAGGGAAAACTCTGTGACTACGCCAACACAAATCTGTCACTGGTGCTGGTGGGAAGCAACATCTCTCCTTAGGTTGGACAGCAGAGACATCATGTCGTCATTTCATTTATTTTTAGATCAGGCAGGTTCCTTCTTATGTTTAAAAATACCTTAGCAGGTATGTAGCTTCTTTCCCTTTCCCTCCTAAGCGGTCAGCGGGGGGGGGGGGGGTGTCACCTCCAAGCCCAAATGTGGAAACGGTACCATGACATACCTAGGCCAACACTGCTATTCTCCAGCAGGTAACTTAGATGCTCAAACATGGCCTTCTGATTTTGCCGGCTAATTCGACAGAAATAGCAGAGGAAACGGCAACAGCTAGCAACCATTTTTGGAAAAGCAATCTGTAGGGAGAAGAAGGAAGTGTCAGGGAAAAGAGTCCATCGTGAGTCCTTTCTGAAAAGTCTGACTTTCAAGAGTCTTAGGGTGTGCAATCAATGGACTTCCACCTGTCAGTACTGGTGTAAGCTATGAACAGTTTGGAAAATGAATTTTCTCCTTACTTCCAGTGTTTTCCAAGACTTACTCACTTATTCCAAGACAGAGTGGACACCTGAGAAGAGGCTTCCCAAGATATTGAGAGCTAATTTTAGCTCCTGAAATATCTTTCTTACAAAGGAAAAAGAGGTCAAACAAGAATCCTAGACACCCTCCTATGTCACATGAAATTGCGTGACCCTACATGAGACTATTGTTTCCATCTGGGAAGGGAGTGGACAGAACTCTGATGAGAAAGTATTATAACAGGCCCGAGTCCTCTGGGTAAAGGCAGGCCCCTGGAGTTGTGGGAGCCTGATGAGCATTGCCCTCTCAGGCTGTTGAGCCTTCCCCAATTACATTTTTCTTCTTCCCTAGTCACTTCTGTCCTCAATGACTGCTCTCCAATGGGCTCCCATAGCACCTGTAATCTGATTCATATAATTTAGCACTGAGATACCATCTTCTGTTACTGCTGATTGCACTTGGCTTCTCTCCTTAACAAAGTAATTAGCATCTCTAGAGCCTGGCCACATCTTAGTTTTGATCCAGTAATGCTCAGTAAGTGGTATCTGTGTTAACCTTGCTCTGGATCCTAGAAAGTCCTTGATTTCCCCCTTTAGAATCATGGGGGTGGGCACTCTCAAAAGTAAAGTTCCGAAACCTACACGCTACCTGCTTGCTGAGGCGTGCAGACATCTGCTCAGGGCTCTTCTGCAGAGGGCCCACTTTCCCGAGGGACCAGAAGGAAGTGAGTGAGAAGGAAAGTGAGCTTGGCTTCTGTTCTTCCTTCACACCCCCACCTGTCAATACCGGTGGAACTGCTTTGCAGATCATTCATTCCAAGGACCTGGCACTCTGGAATTTCCAACATCTGAAAACATCCTCCCATCTACTGCCTTCAGACCTGAACTCTGAGCACCCCACGCAAGTTAGGATAAATGCCCAGGGAGCTCCCCCTGACAGCGGGCTTGTTATGGGGGGGCTGGCAAGGAAAGCCAATATCCTCAGGAGCTCGGTGCACAGAGCAAACACGCGTACTCCCAAGGGAATGCTGCCACGATCGTTATTAAGATCTTGTTCTCCTTTAGAGCAGCATTCTCCTGATCCAGCACAAAACACACTGGGCTCCTAAGTGGAACCCGGAGGAATTCGGTCTTGGAAGGAGCAGGGCTGAAGAGTATGGGAAGGAAACTCAGCAGGTGACCAGACTTGTGGAACGAGTGGGAAAAGCTCTGAGCCTCACTGGCTGGATTTCATCCATCCCTTGGCTATTTCCTGGCTTTATGCACATCCCTCCCTCTCCCCGGGAAGTGTCACGAGGCCATGGACACGAGCCATGTGGCCGCGAACAAGTCACCACATGCCCCCGTGTAGGGGTCAAGTTCTGGCTGAGTTCCCCTTGTAGGATTACCTGAGACTTCTCCGCGCCCAACACGTTCACCATCACCTCCATCACCGTCTCGTGCATGCCAAGGACTCGCATGAGGTTGGGATGCTGGTAAAACACCTTGTTGTTCATAATGTCTCTACGGTAAAGACGGGACAGAGCCTTCAGCACTTGCTTCTATCAGTGCTATGAGCATTCAGGGTTGAGGACACACAAATGCGCAGACACAGTGGGGGTGAAGGAATGCAAATGTGACAGGCTGGAAGGTCCGAAGAAGCTACCAGTTCAGTCAGAATATATGTGGAGTGCCTTTTTTAGCTGACAGGAGTATTCTGTGCTCATTCAGGAGTATTCTGTATTCATTTCTATGAAGTACTTTCTTTCTTTGAGACATTTCCTTCTAATGACATATTTCACAGTTGTCCTTTGTCTTTTTTTTTTTTTTTTAAGATTTATTTATTTATTTGACTGAGAGAGAGGGAACACAAGCAGGGGGAGTGGGAGAGGGAGAAGCAGGCTTCCTGCTGAGCAGGGAGCCTGATGCGGGGCTTGATCCCAGGACCCTGGGATCATGACCTGAGCCGAAGGCAGACGCTTAACGACTGAGCCACCCAGGCGCCCCTTCCCTTTGTCTTTTTCCTTGAAATAGTTTTGAGACAGCCCAAATTACTGGATTTCTCTTCCTCCATGTACTCAGGGTTTTCTATATATCTATTTTCCTCCTCTCAGCCTTATATCTAAGTCTCTGTGTACTTCAGTTTTCTTAATGATGGGGATGTACCCCTTTCTTAAAGGCAGCTGTATATTAGATAGATACCCATGACATTTTGGGGCAGCAGTCTTCAAAAACCAGTGAAATTAACAATGAAATATATAAAATTGTATTTTTAAATCATTCAGTATAAATTCACACATAATAAAGGTGCAGGCAAATCAAAATGCAGGAGCAGCCTGTGACGTGGCTGTGTAATCCCTCACAGGGTGGCTAGCCTCGGCCTGTCCCTGTCCCCTGAGTGCTGGCTGCTGTTAAGAGGAGATAGCACCAGCTTTTACTGCTGCTCTGTCTACTGCAAGGGCCAGGGGAGAAGCTAATTCTGCAGGTTTGTTTTCCCATTAGAGTCTCTTCATTTCTAGTACATGCCTGATTCTTCCTTGGAAATGAATTTGAAGCATGAGAACATGCTTCATGGGGCAAGGGGTTGCCCCAACCCAGGGATCCTCAAAGTCCCTCTTCTGGGGATCGGGTGGGGTTCCTTCAGTGGGCTGGCTCCAGGGCGGTGGGATGGTACATGGAGCAGCAAGAAGGTTGTGGTCCTAGTTCTTGATTTTATTTTATTATTTTATTTATTTATTTATTTATTTTTTAGATTTTA